TAGTTCAAAAATATCAATAAACTGTTAACACATATATAGATTTAAATATACTTAAATATATTACAATAAAAAACTAATTTACTTTTTATCATTTTTTGTAGGACTTATATAAAATCCGATATTATTCGTCGAATTTTGTCAGATTATTTTAATATAGATGTATTATTAGTTATGGGTATAACTGATATTGATGATAAAATAATAAGACGCTCCATTGAAAGTGGACAAAATTTTGAGACTTTAGTAAGGCATTTTGAGACTGAATTTTTTGCAGATATGAATAAATTAAATATCCGTGAACCATACTTACATTGTAGAGTAACAGATTATATACCACAAATCATTCAGTTTATTGAGAGGCTTATAGCCAAGGATGATGGTTACATTGCATCAGATGGTACGATATTTATTAATATTTGAATCTTGTCACTATAAAAAAAATGTCAAGCTTTTATTTACTTATAAATTATTTTATATGGATTTTACAGGATCTGTTTATTTTAATACCAGCAAGTACAATAAATATGGTAAATTATCAACTCTTGTGCTTAATACTGTAAATGATCAGAATTTTATTGGTAAAAAATCAGCATTAGACTTTGCACTGTGGAAAGCAGCAAAAGAAAACGAACCATCGTGGAAATCTCCATGGGGCTATGGTAGACCAGGATGGCATATAGAATGCAGCGCAATTGCAAGGTAATTTTGAAAGTTAATTCCCTTGTGTATATACTTTATATGAAAATTCTTTTGTATCGAAATTTATTTTTTATATATTTGTTTAAAATAATATGCATATTTTCAGAATTACCTTTATATAGCAAAATTTAAATTTTTTTTAACATTTATCCATTTGATAATACTGATCTATATAGTAGTATGTTTTTATCAGCACAGTCTTTGGAAATTCTATAGATATACACAGTGGTGGAATAGATTTAGCTTTCCCACACCATGAAAATGAAGAGGCACAATCTTGTTGTTATCACGATATTGATCAATGGGTTAATTACTGGCTTCACTGTGGCCATTTATGTTTGAAAGGGGATGTAAAGATGTCAAAGAGTCTAAAGAACACCATAAGCATACAAGATTATCTCAAAAACTATTCGGCAAATAATCTTAGAATGCTTTGTCTTTTGTCTCATTATCGAAATGGTACATATAATAATGTTCAACATCAATTTTATATAATTTAATCCAGTTGTAATGGACTGAATTTTGTGTTGCAGGTATTGAATTTTCAGATGAAGTTATGCAAACTGCAGTGTCAGTAACCAAGAAACTTGATAATTTCATAAATGACTGTGATAATTATGTTGCTGGAAAATTTAAAACCGGTGAAATTGATGAAAATCTTTTATATACAGTAAGTTATCAATCTCTTCATAATTGTTACTACATATACTAAGTTTATTTTTTTAATATCATGTCATTATTTATACAAATATGCAATAAAATTTATAAAATTCCAAATTACAAAACTAAATTGATTTTTTGTTTCTTTAAATCAAGTATATGTATATAAATATATTAATATACAATATAAAATTTTAAGAAACTTTTTTGCAGTAGTTACTACAAAAAATTAAGCTAATTTAAATATTTTTTTAGACTTTACATGACACAAGAAGTAAGGTTTACTCGGCATTGACAGACGATTTTGATACTTCAAAAGCAATGCATGCAATTATAAATCTTGTTGGAATAGGAAACAAGATGCTTCACCAGGACAATGTAAATCGATTGTGTATAAGAAATATTCTATTAATAATTAATATGTCTATAATATTGCAATCTTATTTATACTATCTATTAATCATTTACTTATTTTTTTAATTGCAGGTAACGTCTCGCAGTAATAATGTAAGCGTGGTTGCCGCAGTTTCGAATTATCTTTCGAATACTCTCTCAAAGTTTGGCATTTCACGATCTACAAAATCAACAGTAGAAAATAAACAAATTGAAGATATTATTAATCATTTTCTGAACTTTAGGACGATTGTCAGAATCAAAGCACTTGAGCAAAATCCAAAAAATACAATTTTATTAAAAGAATGCGACAACGTACGAAAATGTTTATCTACTTGTGGGATTACAGTAAAGGTAAAAATTTTATAATCAAGTTTTAAAATAATGATTATATATGAGATCTATATTATCATTGCAGGATCAGCAAAATGATACCAGCTGGAGTTGGAAACAATAATCATATTTTTAAATAAAAATGTATTAAAATTACATTCTTTTCATTTAATTATAAATACTCCAATCGATCAACTCTCAATCCGTAGTTTCTTTTAATTTCTTTGCACTGTCGTTGTTATCATCAGCAATATTTCTCTTTTGGCTATTTTTTTCTGATAATGTTTTTTTTAAGCCTTTCATCTTCCTTGTCTGAATACCGATAATATTTTGTGCGCCAATATGTATACGGCCATATGTTGTTCCAAATGTATCTTTAGAAATGTTCTTTTTCGTCTTTGCCTATAAAATTACAATTATTAGATTAAAATATACATCTTTACTGAATTGATAATTTATAAAAAATTTATTTAGAATTATTTATAAAACAATATTTTAAGTGCATTAGGTTTCCGACAAGCTCGATTGAATAAATCTTTAGAGGCAAACTTGTTACGCCTGCACACTAAATCAGCATGTGGTCCTATTTCTACAAGTTCTATCCTAGGTGTTCTCGTATTAGATTTTTTTAAAAGTATCCTAAAAATTATTAGATCAATCAATATATGATCACTTTAAATTAAGCATAATTGCAAATCATACTTACATATTTATGTTATTGCAATGTTATTTATTTTACATGATTTTTTTTATATTTTCACTATTGATATATATATATATATATCTAAATGATTAATAAATATATAGTTGAAAAAAATAAAAATAAATTTTATCTCACCTATAACTGCGCAAAAGTATTTTATTTTCAACAGCTGTGAAACTTAAAACGTGTTCAAGACCTTGCAATCTGATCTTTTGAACCTCTTCTCTAAGGAACATGTCAATGAGTAAATTTTTGATCCTTCCATATTCATGACATATTTCAAAGAGTTCACCATTAAATATCAACAATGGTTTTATTCCTGAGGTGATCTTTTCAACTTTGAAGTCTTTCAATCCTTTATAATTTTCTACGCCAAATTCTATCATGTCTAATAACATATGCTCGTACATTCGACCCATTATGAGATTGTGTGGACGTTTCTTATTATGAGTAGCTATCATGAAAAGAGATGCGTCATACTTAAAAGCAAATTTTTCAATAGGTGTGATATCCTCAAATGGTAGTATGTCATTTTTCTGTTTCATCATTTGTACATTAGGTTTCTTCAAATCATACTGGAAAATATATTTCATTTATAATTGAAAATTTCTATTGCTATAAAAGTTGAAGAGCAACGCCAATAAAAATTATATTTACTTACCAAATCCTTCATAATATCTGTAACGATTTGCGACGTACGATTACCCTTGAGACATAAAGCTTCTTTAGCATCTTCTATCAACTTAGGCTCCTTCTTCAATATAGCTTTCTTACCCTTATGTGTAATTGGCTTTCTAAAAACATATTGCATAAAATTATAATGCATAATGAAATCTACAATCTATATATACAATTCCATGTATATTAAAGAATAATGTTTAATATTACTTTGTACGCAGTAAATACATCGAAATATATGACAAACTTACGTAATTCTGTTTACAGCAGGCATAATGAAATAATGAATTGATACACTAAAAATTATAATTTTATATTTTTCTCAGTAAACGTGAATAACCGTGAAATAACTTAACCACAACACGTGGCACACAATTGTACATACCAGATATGCTCGTTTTCCAGACGAATTTTGTACGCTTTTGCGCAAACATGGCGCGGACACCGCCATTTGCATCGCGGTAATTTTGAATGAAGTGACAGCTCGAGAAATCAAAATATAAAAAGTAAAATCATATAAAATATATAATGTAATATATGTGTAATATATATAACACATGAAACACATGAAATATCAGCTTACAGTCTATAGCTAGTTTAAAATAATAACCTGCAGGTTCAGCAGAACACCACAATTTTGCAACTTTTTATGATTGTCTGCTGAGATAGGACCATTCCTCTAGATCTAAAAGTTAGAAAGTTAAAAAGAAATTTAATCAGCGCAAGAAAACTTTCAATAGTTTGCAAAATAAACGTTCTACTGAACGCAGCCTATAAATGATCCTTCAGCATTGATGTGCATCAGCCAGCAGCCACTCCACTGAACTACGTGTGATACATGCCATCCGGAACTGATTCTTCACGCACGCGATGTGCACGACGCAAGTAATTAAATTCCTTTTCGAAAAAAAGGAATATTTCCCATTTTTATAAAAAAATCATATAAGGTATTCTAAAAATTAATTACTAAGTAGTTTGAATGTTAACTTATCTGTTCTTCGTAATTATTCTAATTTATAGAATCCTTTCGCGTTCATATTTTTCTTTATATACGTATATTTATTATTTCTTTATTTTATATATATA